ATGCCACCATTCCAAAGGTTGTAGACCTAATTTCAGTGTAAGCAGTCAGTTGCTGTTGATCACCTGTTGATGCCTTCTCTTTAGTGTTTGGTTTCTGTTGGGACTTCTCGGAGAAGGTTACACTACCAAAGATGATACAGGAGTTGAGACTTCCACTCTGGGTTCTAGAACTGGCTTTCATGGATTTGCTTGAGCCACCCCAGTTCTGTTGGTTCTGTGAGCTTCTCCCTTAACTCTCTTGGCAGCACCAATTCGGAAATCAACGAAGCTACCAGCTTTTCAGTCTCAGATACAGCTGGGAAGATCCATTAAAGTGTTTGTTCTCCAGGGCCAGAATAATAACGCAATTAATATCCCCGTCTCAAGCATCTTCACCTTGTGCCATCTTTTGGATAGCACTGGAACTGAAGAGAAGGCACAGGTCAGTTTTTCTGGTAAATGGGCCACCATGACATAGAATCCTAGGGCTATTTGTATCTTGCTGGCCTCTGAAAGAGACAGAAGTCTTCTGTTCCAGATCTTCAGATCTCCAGATGTTCCAGATCTTCAGAATTTAGGGCAAGGACTTTATATTTTTCGCGACAATTGAGTTGACTTAACTACTCAGATTGCTTTTCCCCCAAGAAGGCCTTTATTAGATCAGGGGTCTCCAACCTTAGCAACCTTAGGAACATCAGTTCCTGGCTGGGAGATCCGACTTGTTTTCCAGCATGGATCTGGAGCAGTCCTGAGTTTGATTGGCTTGATCCACTCCCTTGATTTTCTCTCTGAAAAAATATGGAAAGGTCATTCTGCTGGAAGCTGAAGGGGATATTTGCAGAGGCACTGATTGTGGGGTTGTTGAAGCCCAGATCCAGGATGAATACCTCTCTTAACTTATTAAGATCACCAGGAATATGTCAACATTATAGCATCTCTGGTGGGAAAAAATACAGGCTGGTAAAGCCATGGTTAGGCAGGTAACCTTCCTCTCAATCTGAGTCCCAGAAAGAATGAACCATGTGCATCTCACATAACTAATTCTCCAGTTCTTGCAGGCTAAACAGATTCTTCATTGCTTTTTGCACTATTAATTGAAAATGCTGATTGAGGGACGGTGGCCCATCTCCTTGTTCTTCTCATCCTTTTTCTGCTCCTGATACTGCCAGGGTGAATGTCCAATTCCTTCCTGGGTCTTTATTCATTGTCACTTTTGGGATCTCCTACTTCTTTTTCTGTGCAAATGCAAAGGAGATTGCAAGTAAATGAAGAATGGAGAAGAAAATGGTTCCTTTGAGGCCTTCTGGAAATAAGGGCAGTCGTTCCCTTCTCTCCCAGCTTCTCTTCCACGCGAGTTATTCTGAAACTCATGATCAATTAGCCCAGAAGACTGTTTCACACACAGAGAGGCAACCTAAGTGTCACTACGACGTTGCTTCCCGCAAAGGTTTTCCTACCTTTGCACTTCCTTTATACCTTGGGGGAGGGGCAATCACCTCCCAGTCTTACTTCCGAGTTGCCCCTTTTGTCTTAGCTGCTCTTGCGTTCTGGCAGCTCTACACACATGCGCACTGGGAACAGGCTCCCCTTGTTCCTCTGCCTCACTGCTATCAGACTCTGGAGGCTCCGGAGTCAGCACTCCACTCCCAGATGGTCCTGGCCCCATCTCTGCATCAGACGCAGGACCCTCGTCTGAGTCCTCCCCAGACTCCCGGACTGGTCCCCTTTCTTCCCCACTGTCCGATTCTGCTGCCGTCTGCACAGGCTGCCGGCGAACCACAATACTTAGTACTGATCCAACTGCCAGAGAATCACTTCTATTTTTCCCCAGTATTTGTTCAGTTTTCCAAAGTTGAAAGTTGGAGCTGTTGGTGCTGCCCTGTGCCAAGTGGATTAGGATGCTTAGTTGCATTGGAAAGATGGTTGTCATCATTGCTCTGCTTCATCTCCTCTGGAAGATCTCTTGCTTTTTGGAAACTACTCCATCAGACTGGACAATTGCTGTGCTTCCAGTTCCTGGTCTTTGGCCGTCACCTGGCGGCTGCAGCCGGTCTCCAAACTTGCAGACATACCTTCAAACGGATGGGGCCATCAAACATTTGACGTTCACCTTCCCCCTTGCTCTTTCTCTCATTCTTGCTTGCTCTATATGGTGTAAGTTGGGAAGCTGGTATGGCAGGAATCTGGAATCTACCAGAAGAGATAGAACCACCAGGCCACTATAATTCATTGCCTTCCATGGTTCTCAAGAGAATGGCCAACTACCTATTGCAGTGGTTGCCAACCAGTGGGCCGGGGACCACTGGTGGTCCATGAGAAAATGTTGGTGGTCCGCAGAGAACTTGTCACCCCCAAAGCAATTAATCCAGGCTGCGCTGGAACACAAGGCTGCGCCGCCCACATGGCCACGGGAGCACAAGGCTTGCGTCTCTTGCATTGCGAACAACACGAGGTAGTGAGGGGAGGAGGGAAAAGGCGAAAGGGGGGAACTTGCCCCACTCAACCCACGCAACTCGCCCAGCCACTGGGCTGCTTCTTTCCGCTTCTTTTGGCTGCACGCAAGGAAAGTATCAAAAGTCTGTCTTTCTCTCCCCCAAACTCCGCCAGAAATGAGTCTTTGGGACCCTGCTCCAAGAGGCTGAGTCAGCGTGACAAGTCTCACAAAGATTCATTTCTGGCGGAGTTTGGGGGAGAGAAAGAAAGACTTCTGCTCCTTCTGCTGCTTTCCTTGCACAAAGCCAAAGTCTCTCCCCCTGAGAACGGAGCTGAAGATGGTATCCTGCGATCTCAAATAAAGAATGACTGATTGGTGGGAAAACAGGGTGGGGAATTTTCCTGCAGACTTTTTTTGGATTTTCCCAGGGTCTCTGATCCGTGGGATTTAAAATTATGAATTTGGTGGCCTCTGAGGTCCAAAAGGTTGGCGACCCCAGGTCTATTGACTAAGAAAGGTGTAAGAAAGGAGCCTCATACTTGGAGCAGAGACCTATATAATGGTCTTGGCTTCTGTGAATTGAAGTGGACAAATCTTTTTTCTGGTTATAGCTTCTGTTTCTAGTTATCTGTCAGTGTTCTGCCAGACACGAAAATTTCTGAATAGCAGATCAAATGCCTAGATAGTCAGCTTTGAAATAACTGGTGATCCATCTCCCATGTCCCCTGATGCCACCATTCCAAAGGTTGTAGACCTAATTTCAGTGTAAGCAGTCAATTGCTGTTCTGGATCACCTGTTGATGCCTTTTCTATGAAGTTTGGTGTCTGTTGAGACTTCTGGGAGAAGGTCGCCTTACCAATGATGATACAGGAGTTGATACCAGGGGTCTCCAACCTTGGCCACTTTTAAGACTTCTGGACTTCAACTCCCAGAGTTCCTCAGCTAGCAAAGCTGAAACTGAAGTCCACAAGTCTTAAAGTTGCCAAGTTTGGGGAATCCCTGGCCTTAGAGAGCCAGATTTGAAGTCATGTCTTGAGCGAAGGCTGACACTTTCCTCCACTTTTCCTTTCTGGTTTTTTTGGTTTTCAAGATGGAGCCCAAGAGAGGAGTCGCAGGTCCTCCCTAAAAGGTAGGGCTAAAAACAGAGGAGTTTTCTCCATGGGACACAAGTACACCTTGTCCTTAGAAGAGGTGGTATCAACCATTTTCCTTCTGGGATCTCTAGCTTTGCGACCGAGAATATTAAGCACTACCTATCTGGCACACAACAAGGCTTGTGGCATGGACCTCTTGATGGAGGAATCGTGGCACCTGGGAAGACTGAATTTGATTTTGTGCATTTACTTTCCACTTTTTTTTTTCTTTTGGAGAATTGAGGGCAGGTCTCTTGTGGTGGCTCCATGGCTAAGATGCTGAGCTTGTCGATCAGAAAGGTCAGCAGTTCGAATCCCTAGCGCCGTGGAACAGAGCGAGCTCCCGTTACTTGTCCCAGCTTCTGCCAACCTAGCAGTTCGAAAGCATGTGAAAATGCAAGTAGAGAAATAGGGACCCCTTTGGTGGGAAGGGAACAGCGTTCCGTGCGCTTTTGGCGTTTCCACGGAGACGTCTTCCAACAGCGCTGGCTCTTCGGCTTTGAAACGGAGATGAGCACCGCCCCCTAGAGCCAGAAACGACTAGACTATCACGGATGTACAAGGGGAAATCTTTCATTCACACAACATCCCTGGTAGGTAGGTTAGGCTGAGAGAAAACGACCGGTCCCCAGCCACCCAATGAGTTTCCAGGGCTGAGGCTGGATCTGAACCTGGGCCTGCCCAGGTCTAATGCAACCCTTTAAGCCCGCCCTCCATGGTGGCTAGAATTTGGGTTCCCAAACTGTCAACAAGGCCCCCACATTGAAGAGGAGAAGGACAAGCTTGTCTTGAGACCCTGCTGCACCAAAACCTTAGGAAGGGGTGCACTTTGGAGGCGGCACCCCTTGTCGTCCCGTTCCCACCCACCCACCCCAAATTCTCTCCAGGTCTGGGGATCCTTCTGTGCAGGGCAAAGGAGATTTCTTTGTTGGAAAGCAAGTCAGGTCACTGCTTCTTGCCACAGATTTTGCCTTGGCGGGGTGGGGGGGGGGAGAGATTAAATCTGACCAAAGAGCCCCCAACTCCCCATCGACTCAAGGCAAGACGGCCCTCCTCCCCCAGGCCCAAGTAGGGTCTCTCCCTCTGCCCCTCCCTCCGAGCAAAGGTAGACCTCCCTGCCTCCCCACCCCACCCCACCCCCCAGGCGGGACCCAGCCCAGCCCAGCTCACCTGAACCTCTCCTGGCCGGCGGTGTCCCAGATTTGCAGCTTGATCCTTTTGCCCGGCTCGATCTCCACCAGGCGCGAGAAGAAATCCACGCCCACGGTGGGGTCGGAGACCTGGGCGAAGCGCCCTTCGGTAAAGCGGCGGATGAGGCAGGATTTGCCCACCGTCGAGTCCCCGATGACGATCAGGCGGAACTGGTAGAGCCAAATGGCCTCCATCGTTTGCTGGGGGCCGAGCCTGGAGAGACCCCCCCCCCACGTACCCCTAACCCCGACGCGGCGCCTTTCCCGAGCTCCGGGCGCCGCTGCCGCTCCTGCAAGGAGAGCCCAGCGGAGCCGGAGGAGGAGGCGGGGGCGGCCGGACCCGGGCCCAACCCGGGAACCGCTGCTGCTGCTGCTGCTGCAGCCGCTGCTGCGAGAGGAGCGGGGTCCCCGCAGCGGCCTGTGGGCGGCCTTCCTTCGCTTCGGGGGCGCCTGGTTCTCCTAGCCCGGGGGAAGGGTCCAAGCGGGCGAGCTTCGAAGGGAAGCCCGGCAAGAGGCTGGACGACCCGGCCCGACCTCCTCTCTCTCTGCCCCCCCCGCCCCCGAGCGATGCGCTCACCCCGCCCGGCCTGCCTCAGGTGAAGGGAGCGCAGGTGTGTGTGTGTGTGTGTGTAGGGGGGGGTCCCCCCACCGTCCAAGCGCCGTCGCCCTGCCCGCAAAGCCCCAGGGACGCCCTCAGCAACGCCGCCCGGAGCCCCGCCGAGCCGCCGGGCCCGAGTCCCCGGCCGCTATACGAGTCGGCAGCCGGTCCGGGGAGCGGGACTCATGCTCCGGAGAAGGCGGGTCAGGCGGAGGCGCTTCCTTTTTTGGGGGGGGGGGGGGGGGGGGGGGTGGACGTCAAGGTCGTTCGGGGCGCTCCGGGGTCCGGGAAGGGCGAGGCGGCTTCTCCGGGCGCGGCTTCAAGCCGAGGGTCGAGGGCCACCTCTGCAGCCGGCGGCCTCCCGGAGATGCTCTAAAGATGGAGATGCAGCCGAGGGGAGGATGGCAGCGGCAGCGGCAGCGGCGGCGGCGGCAGCAGCGAACCGTCTGACTCATCACTGCTGGCAGCAGCTGCCGCCGTTACCGTATTGCCCCTAAGAGAGGCTCCTCCGCCTTCTGGCCACCATGGCTTATACCGTCTGGTTTAGAAAAGAGCCGGCAGCGGGAATTAGGTTCTCTCTGCCACTACTACCACCCCCACCCTGGGTCCCTTTGCCCCCCCATTGGCAATCATGGCCCCAAACCAGGGGGGGGTGTGTGTCTCCAACTGGAAGACTTGTGGACTTCAACTCCCAGAGTTCCTCGGACTTCAACTTCAGCTTTGCTGGCTAAGGAACTCTGGGAGTTGAAGTCCACAAGTCTTGAAGTTGCTTAGGTTGGAGACCCCGGGTCCAAACCGAGAGATATCCCCCCTCCAGAGGTGGATATTCAGCAGGTTCTGACCAGTTCTGGGGAACCAGGAGTGGAAATTTTGAGTAGTTCAGAGAACTGGCAAATGCCACCTCTGACTGGCCCCACCCGCATCTATTCTCCGCCTCCCATTGAGTCCCAGCTGATTAGCTGGGTCTTCTTTGGTTGCCCTGCACAGGAGAATGGAGCTGGAAAGCAGGTTAGTGGGGTGGGGAGGGACTGGGGATTTTGCAGTATCCTTTCCCCTGGAGGGGGTGGAAATGGAGGCTTTGCAGTATCCTTCCCCTGGCATGCCCACCAAGCTATGCCCACCAAGCCACGCCCACAGAACCGGCAGTAAAAACTTTTGAATCCCACCACTGTACCCCATGGCAAATGGCCCACAAATGAGTTTGACACCCAGGCCCCCTCCTGGCAACAATGGGGGGGGGAAATCTCCCTGCCCCCCACCTGCACTGTGCCTCCCAGCTGATTTTCAGCCCGTTTGAGGCCTTTTTCGGCCTCCCAGAGGCTTGAGGACAGCTTCTGCAGCCTTTGCAGGCTGAAAAATAGGCCCGTTCTATCACTTCCAGTATTACAGGAAGTGACAAAACTGGCCTATTTTCGGCCTGCAAAGGCTGCAGAAGCTGTCCTCAAGCCTCTGGGAGGCTGAAAATCAGTTATGAGGTGCACACCTGCGCAGTGAGGGAAGTTTGCCTGCGACTCGTGTGCCCGCACAAATGGCGCTGCGTGTCCCCTGTGGCACACATGCCATAGGTTCGCCATCACGGATTTAGAGTCTTCTCAGTCTTAGGTAGCTATTTTGGCCCTCCCTCTCTGCACCTGCATCTTCAAGTCAGCATTGACTCCCGGTGAGAGCCTGGGCAACTGGTCCCTGCCGTTTTCTTGGCAAGATTCCAGAAGGGGCTTGTCAGAACTTTCTTCCCAGGGCTGAGGGACCCAGCTGGCTTTGTGCCTGAGACGAGACTAAAACTCAGGATCCCCTGGTTTCTTGCTGGCGCCTGAAGCATCACACCAAACTGGCTCTGTACTTTGGTTCTAAGGTAGAGGGAAACACTTAACTCTTCTCCCCACTGGTGTGGGACTAACTCTACTCCATGCCTGGGAGCTCAGGCTGATTGATGCAAAGTGGAATTCAGCGTGATGTCAGCTGTTCCTGTTTTTATATGGTGCCGCAGCACCGTAAGACAAAGCAGAATTAATGTGTTATTTACTTACTGGGCATAGATGCAGCTCCAAGCATAAATTGCAGATCTTTAGTGATCTGCATTCAGCTTTGCAGGGATGGTCTGCTCATACTCTTGAGAGATCCAGTATATGGCAGTGATGGCTAACCTTTCCCACATTGGGTACCAAAAGTGCGCACGCTTGCCTGCACCCATGATGCAATGCGTGTGCGATGCCCTGCTCCCCCTGCGCATGTACATACGAATCCCTGGACATGCACATGCCTCTGTGCGTGCATGCCCCCCCACGCCTCTGCGCATGCATACACAATTCCCCCCACATGCTGTATGCCCCCGTGCATGCGTGCACGTCCCCCATGTGCGAGTCTCCACCCACGCATGCACAGCAGATACCTGACAATCAGCTGGCTGGCGGGGGGGCACGCACATGCGCAGTGGGGCTCTTCTGGGCGACCTCTTGCATGCCGGCAGAAGTGGCTCTGCATGCCACTTCTGGCACACATGCCATAGGTTCGCCATCACGGGTATTTGGGGTTTGTATCAAGCCAACAGGTCTTTCCAGCCATAACCCCCATCCTCTGCTACTTGCTTCCCTTGGAAACAGGAAGGGGGGGTGTCAAAACTGTGAACACATTTGGTCTAGTGGTTAAGGTACCAGGCTAGAAATTGGGAGTTCTAGTTCTGTCCTAGGCACGAAAGCCAGCTGGGTAACTTTGGGTTAAGTCACCAGGTGACTTTGAATTCTAGTCCTGCATTAGGCACAAAAGTCAGCTGAGTGATTGTGGGTCAATATACTGGGAGAGTGGGAGTTCTAGTCCTTCCTTAGCCTTCTTTCAGAGCCAGCTGGGTGACTTTGGGGCCAGTCACTCTCAACCCAACTCACCTCTCAGGGCTATTGTTGTGGGGAAAATATGTTGATAGGAAATGTGTGGAGGAAGGTGTGTTGATAGGTTTGCCACCTTGAATTATTTCTAAAAATAATAAAGGTGAGATATAAACAAACAACCAAATGACACTGTGTGGTACACATAAAAAGGAGGTGGGGCTTTGATGACAGTCACAGCCACTATCTTTCCTTTCGTTTCTGACTCTTCCCTCTCCCTCCAGAGAGAGCCCTTCTATTCAGAGACAGGCCCTTTAAACCTCGGTTGGTAGCTGGTTAGGTTGGTCACTGTTTGGGGTTTACAGGACATGGTATGTTTCATTTGGTCTCATCTCCCTTGGTTGAGGACCCCCCGTTTGCATTCCTTATTCCTTGCACGGCTTGCCATTTTAACTGGGCGTAAAGTCTTACTAGACTGAACGGGCTTTGCACATAATTTCATTCTTAACTGTTCCACACAGTGGAGCTTTTATGCAAAGCTTTCTGAGGAACAATGGAGGGTGTGCACCACTACCTGGCAGATGATCAAAACTGCAACAATAAAGAAAAGGAAGGAATTGTTTTCACACTGCGTGGTCAGTGCGTTCGTTACAAGTCGCTCTGTGACATTGGAGGTTGAAAAATCCTAGGCTGAAGTCCACGCATCTTCAAGCTGCTAAGATTCGAGAAATATTTCTCCAGGGACTAGCCATGAAAGGAACAGTTAGCTTATCAGGCCCATTTACAACAAGGTGTTGCGGGTCAAGGAAAACCACGGTTAGCTTAGGGAGATTAGAAATAACAGAATAATAGAGTTGGAAGGGACCTTGGAGGTCTTCTAGTCCAACCCCCTGCTCAAACAGGAGACTCTTTACCATTTCAGACAAATGCCTGTCCAGTCTCTTTCTAAAAACCTCCAGTGATGGAGCACTCACAACTTACAGAGGCAAGCTATTCCGCTGGTTTATTGCTCTCACCGTTAGTTTAGATTTCTCCTTCGTTCTAGGTTGCTTCTCTCCTTGGCTAGTTTCAATCTGTTGCTTTTTATCCCCCTTTCAGGTTCTCTGGGGAATAGGTTGAGCCCCCTTTTTTGTGACAACCCCTAAAATATTGGAACACGGCTTCCACGTCACCTCATCCTTCTCACTAGACTAGAAATATCCAATCCTGCATCTGTTCTTCATATATTTTAGCCTCCAGCCACGTAATCATCTTTGTTGCTCTTCTCTACACTCTTTCCAGAGTCTCAACAACAACTTTATATTGTGGTGACCAGAACTGGATGCAGTATTCCGAGTGCGGTCTTAATAAGGCTTTGCAAATCCCAAAATTTCAAAGTTGCCCAATAAAATGCACCATGTTGGACATGTGCTCTCAAGATGTATTTCCTATTGGCAATGTTGATGCAGAAATGGGGACAAAAAACCAATGTCCCTGGAAGGCATATATTGCATTATTTAAGGTTAATATTCTTTTTAACTTGTAACAATGTAATATATCCCTATTAAATATTGATGCTAGTCAGATTGCATATTAATGTTAAATTATAGCATCCCCCATTGATCTATTGCATTCCACAGAGCTTAATTTCAGTTAATTCAATTTAAATGAAGCAAAACATCGACTAAGAATTCACCGATGGGCTTTACGGTTATTCAGGAGGAAAACCCACAATCCAACTTTTAGGGATATAAGGATGTAAATTCTCAGAAAGATGGCCAACCTACTCAGTTGCAGCAAAAA